AGAAACGAAAAGAAAAACACGGCGGCAGGGTGTGGCTGTGTGTGTGGCGCTGCGGGTGTCTGCCAGCCCTGGCCGCAAACAAAACAAAACAAGAGGGAACAAATGTGTGCTCCGCCCCACAGGCCCTCGTCGCACGCCCACACGTCACGGCTCCCTCAGCGCGCCGTTCGTCGCGGCCCCTCCTCATGCGTGCAGCAGGCGAGGCGCACAGGGCCGTCGTCATGAGCGTGTCGGTGGGTGTGCGACTGGAGCAGTTGGGCGGGAACACACGGCACCCCTCGCAGGAAGAGTGCAGCAACAAACAATTAAAAGAGGGAAGAGTGGAAAAGAAAAACGTCCACAGTGATTGCCCCCAAAAGCAAAGAAGGAAGAATGGGGAGTGAGAGATGAAAAAAAAAACGGAAAAATTAATAACAAAAAAAGACTAGCAAAAAATTTAAAGCAAACAGGAAAAAAAATCAAAAAACAAAACAAAAAAAGAAGCGTGGGACGACCAGCGCACACACTCTCTCATTGCTCCCGTAAAGCAAAACGCACACACAGGGAGAGAGAGAGAGGTCGCCCACTCAATGCAATAAAAACAAAACAGAAACAGTTACGGTGCTCCGCCCATGCAGCCAGGCAGGACGGCAGCGGTGCGTGTCGTGCAAAAGAGAGCACCAACGGGCCTGCATGGGTGTGCATGCATATATACAATGGGCACATTATTGTGTGTGCTTCGTGGGGTGAGGTGAGGGCGAGAGTCCATGCAAGGGGACACACACAGAGAGAGAAGGACGAGTGTGTGTGCGGGCGGTGCACGGCTCTCTCTCCCTCACTCTCACGCGGCCACCACAGCCGCAGCCGCACACGCAACAACAATAAGAAGCAAAAGAGGGGAGGTGGTGTGGGAGACCGCGGTGCTGCTGTCACTGTCGGCAGGTTTCGTCGTATTACTTTGCACAGCGGCAGATTCAACTGTTGTTCCTTCTTCATTCCCAGCTGTACTCTCATGGTGCTGCTCTTCATCCTTCAGTTGGGCATCGGATATTTGTGCATTTTGGGAGTTTTTTTCTGTACCCTTGTTATCAGAGCTGCCGGTGGTTTCACTGCCACTGGGAGATGAAGACTGGGATTTTTGCTCCTGGTTGCTGCCTGATGATGTATTCAGTGCGGGAGTTGTGTCGGGTGCTGCCACTCTCCGGGATTTATCCTCGTGTGATTCAGTCGTATTTGTTTGATCTTGTGATGTTGCTGGTGCTCCGTCCGCGCCCTCCCGTGCTTCGGTCGACTTCAGTCCTGTTTGTGGTGTTTTTTCGTCTTTGTTGTGGATCGTTTTGCCTTGCACGCCCACGCTGTGTTGATTCGATCCCTCCGCCTCTGAGTGATTCCTTTGCTCTTCTTCAGTGCGAACGTCATCGGAATGCGGCTGGTGGCCATCACCACCTGCTGGGCTGTGGACATTGGTATCGACACCACCTTCCACCTTTAAAGAAAGAGGAAGTGGAGAAGAAATTCCGGCATTATCCGCGCCAACAGTCGTTGAAGATGTCGTTGTTGGGCTGCCAACTGACGATCCTGCACCATGCGCAACGCTAGGCTCTCTTTCAGCTGCGTTGTCTTTCATCTTCTTCTCATTCTC